GAGAATATAGCTAGAGTTGCCCTGGCTTTAATGAACACCATGCCTGTCTCTGTTCTAAGAAAAGCTTCTGGAGTCCCCTGGGGTGCCACGAGGATGTGCCTCAAAAATTTATTCTGTCCGACTTCAAGATGGTGTAGGTTGATCTGATTCATACCCCAGATCTCAATTCCATAAAGCATTTGAGAGATGACCCTCCCTGAAAAAAACTTTTAAAGCTGGGGTTACTAGTTTACCACCTTTGGAATGGAAAAATTTGACCGGAGCATGGCTAGATTTCTGAAGCAATATTTTTGTGCTCTGTATCTGGGATTTCCAGCAGTTTTTCACATCAAAATGCACTCCTAGGTACTTGAAGGTCTGGACTTGTTCTATTTTATTTTCGCCTATAGTCCAGCTGAATTTGGGGGAGTGCTTTCCAAAAATCATCACTTTAGATTTTGTGTAATTTATTTTTAGTAGCTCTAGGTGGCTGAACTCTTGGAGCTTATTTAAGCTTCTCTTCAGTCCCTTTTTGTTCATAGTAATGCAATGTCATCAGCATATATAAGACTTGCAATCTTGTAATTCCCAATGGGGGGGGATGATCTGGATGGGTAAAAGCTGTTACATTATTAATATAAAAGTTAAAAAGTAAGGGTGCAAGTAAGCACACGTTTTACCCTTTGTTTGTACGAATTTCGTCTGTCAGCCTTCCAACTGTACTAATCCTTACTCTCAACGTTGTGTTGGAGTATAGTTCTTGTATTAGGGTTAGGGTTATTTATGTTAGTCTCTGCAAGCTTATCCCATGATTTCTGGTGATTGTATCAAATGCAGAGGAAAGTCAATAAAAGCTATGAACAGTTATTTGAATGGCCTGGTGGTATATTTTCATACAAGATGATGTAACGCTGGTGGTATATTTTCATACAAGATGATGTAGCGTGTAGATTTATTTATTTATTTATTTATTTTATATCCCGCCTATCTGGTCGGTTAAGACCACTCTATTTGATCTACTGTGCTATGGCCCTTCCTTAAACCTATTTGCTCCTGGTGAAGGAATAGCATGCATAGTCTATCACACAACCCACCTCCAAAGCTGAATGCCCTCAGTACCCTTAAGGCAATATTCTTTTATTTGAGGCTAAATTGCAAAATTAGCCTAAATGGGAACTCCATCTGTGAAGGAGTGACAAGGAGTGTGCCGTCCTCAGAGGAAAAACTCTCTGTAGAAGAGACTGAATGCGCCGAGGGGGTTTTGATTGAAATAGATCAGACGGAAGTAATAAGTGAGAGGCCATCGGAGGTGTGTCTTGTGGAAGAAGGAAGGGAGGAGTTAGATTTGATAATCTGGGAGGAGATAAAAGAGAAGAATGCGCGGGCTTTTAGAGGGTGGGCGGACGTGAATCCAGAGAGGAGCAAGAGCCGAGGGGTTCAAACGGAGCCCATGCTCGGGTTCGAGGCTCCAGTAGGGACTGCGGCTGGCTTCCCTAATTTGGCTACCGGAGGAGGCTTACTACCTGATCCAATCTTTCCAGGAGGGAGAGGAAAGTTCTATGAGCCCCTAGAATGGACGGTAACGGTTCATCCGCGAAACCACCCTGGTGGGAGGAGGGTGATACGCCCTGGACCCGAGTTTCAGAAGAAACCTTTGGAAGGCGACTGGGCGAGGCACCCTTGTTGCAGCACGGTATGTGCCGTGAGGAGTGCCCCCCTGTGTCCTATGACTGATCGCGAGAAGTTCGGGCCAGCCCCTTATTAGGAGAACAAGAAATGCCACCAGTTGTACATTCTAAGAAATATCATTTATTGAATGACTGTTGTTTACAGGATCCGTTTGATCCTCAAGAGTTGAGTTCTGTCAGTAATAAAGCTACTAATGTTGTATTTTATGACGAGCCTCGGTGTCTCTTTCCTGCCTTCACCACCAGCGCCCCCCGGCTAGGGAAGAACTCCCTTACACCATCTCCCTTTACACATAGCAGATATGTGAAGTCCACCATAGGATAAATGATTCTCCTCTTTTGGATTCCATTGACTATGGATATTAATTCATATTCTGTTTTTCCCTAAATATATTGCCCTTAATACACCTTCCCCTTCATGTCCAAAATAAATATGAAGTTTTTAAAAAGTTTAGGAAGGAGAAAAGATGGAATTTATCCAGTTCACTGCAAAGTGTTCTAAGGCCACATAGGAACTTACCCAAGAATAAAAGACAGTATGCTAATTCCCTTAAAATGAAATGAATGAATAAAATTAAATTTAACCAATATCTACTGTTTAAAACTGCTTACCATACTCTACTTGCTAAATAATACTAAAGATAAATGTCTATAGTACAAATGTAGATTCCACAGCAGGCAGTTAAAACAATTATTAAAATTTCTTATTAATGTCTTCAAAGTCATGCTAACAGGGTCCCTGAGATTAAGTTCAACATTTAAAATTTCAGCAATATTTTCAAACACAGTTATTGATGTAGTGGTAACGTATTTCATGATCTCTAAAAATGCTGCAGTGAATAAAATTGAAGCACTACCTTCTCTACAATATAGTGATAGTACTATTTTAAAGATCAACAACAACAACAAAAAACTTAGCGAAGATTTACAAGCATATTCTATTGGCTAGAACTATCCCACACCACTAAAACCAACTAAGAAGCTGTAACACCTTTACGTTAATACCGTGTATATCATGGCAAGCCTTACTACAAAAGTATTGTGAATATTCATGACAAAAAATAGCGTAGTATGAAGGATGATAGCTTAAAAAAAACTAAAACATCAAGTTGGGCAACAAAAAAGTCTTTCAGTTATAATAAAACCACATTAATTGGAGCCGATCGTACCAATGTCTGGTCAAAAACTGTATACTTTCCCAATCCATCCCATGATGTTTTCCTGGTCCCCCGCTGCCGCAGACAGTTCAGCTGGTGTTGCTCACCAAGGCCAATGTCAAAGAGAATTTGGAATTTGTTGGTGCTCATTTATTTTAAGTGTTTGCAATGCTATGTCTGAAAAGAGTTTGTGTTTGGCTGAGCAAGGGTATGCCTAGCACTACTCTATCCCTATATTGCACTACTCCTGAATTACTCTTTATAGAAGATCATCACTGGATGATGTGGCTACATGCTGTGTTTAGACGTCTCTACAAGTACAAATTCTAATCTGAAGAAGAGGAAACACAGTGAACAAGCATGTACAGCCTTTAAGGATTACAGAAAACAAGACTTTTTATTCCCAGTCTCAATAAGAAGTCTACTTCTGATTCTTATCTGATGTCCTAAATTATATACCAAAACAAAACTGACACTCTTCTGTGTCCGCTTGCCTGTTAATATCTTCTGAATGCCCCCAGGCTATTTGATTTATAACTGTAACTCTATTAAGCCATTAAATTATGGACAGGTTGAATGCTACTCAAATGTTTAATAAAATATGCTGGTACTTGTGTTCATTCCATTTGTAATCCATGTAATTCTTCATCTGACCTAAAATAATCCTTACAGTCAAGTGAAATATGACCTTGAAACCACAACATTCTCACTACAAACTTAGTTATTATAAATAAACCATTGCTCAGTCAAACCTAACTCTTCCTCAACATCACAATTTCTGTAAAATTCCAAAGGGGATATTTGCTATATTTAGATCAGTAATAATAAAGAAAAACATGTACCTTTCTGTTGGGATAACCACTTTGACTATGGCTTGCGACAGAGTCTGTATATGAAGTCACATCAGATAATAAACATAGAATATGTGAGTATTGTTAACAAGTAACAAGCAAAAAAAATACATATGCATTGAAAATACTACACATCTATCAAAAGTTTTGCAGGCAATCACTGCTGCGAAGTTATAAACTACGCAATAACATAAACAGCAAATGGCTGTGTCCAGTGAACTACAAAATGTTCACTAACTTCAATGTACAAGGACATTCTTGACAGAATGCACACCAGTGCACTAAACAGGTACTATACTGACAACGACAACAACCACCCCAATCCAAAGGAGCTGGCAGAAAGATCCATGCATACAATGGAGTTTACTTATTTATATAACAGTTCCTGTTTATTGCACCAGCAGCTGTTTTCAAATGCCTCTTCAGTTTTGGAAACAGCTCCCCAGTAGAGCATAAGAAAGTTGCTTAGAGAAAGAAACCCTCAATGGACTCAGAAAAGCCCATTCTGTACATATGAATGGACTTGTCAGACTGAGTTCGAGGGGGGAAAATCTTTTTTGTTTGATCCTGAGCAAACTAATGTTTATGATGCTGAAACATGCTTTGTTTATAAGATTGTGCTTTTATTCCCCACAATCTCCCTTTCTAGAACTTCAGTTCATCCAACTTGAACCGCTGGCTTTAGCCATAGTTAAGCAATACGTATACAGTAATACTGACCAGGGCTCTCACTTAACCAGGATATGAATCTAATGTGGGTTCCCAGTTTCAGAACCTGCTTAGGAGAGGAATCCCTGTGCAGCCTTAACTGCAACAATCATCCTTACCAACATAATGCTTAACCAGGGTTATAGCCAGCAATAGTTATTCATACTCCAGAAAGGGAAGAGCAAGAAGTACACAATCTTGCAGCCTATTCCTAATTCAATCAGCTGTTATATTTTTATACTGGATCTTAATTCCCTAGCCTTTGAAGCCTTATAAAATATTGAATCAATGTGACCTGCCATTTATGTTGAAAAGATACTTACCATTTATTAGTAAGCTGACTAATATCCTTTGAAATATCCTGAAAATATGAAGCTATCCTCAGCTACTTACTCAAAAATGTCTGAAACAACTTTCTACATAGAAACTGTTTGTGAGTTCATCATGATGTTAAGTCATTTGCCTGAATTAAAATTTTAGCAATTAAAATGAAGTAATTTGGATACTGCAAATCTGGCAGCTAACAAAAGGGGGACATAGGAGAAAGAAAAACCAGGGAATGTGGAGGGGAAAAACACGTGATATCTAGATTTAAAAGTCCAATTAAAAACAAGGCTCAGTTCTGCAGCCTAAGCTTAAACAAGGTGACAATACCTTAAAAGTGAGGCTCCTTAAACTAAGGCAGGGAACAATTCAATTTATCTTAGAACAGGACAATATAATTCTTTAGATTTTTTTTAAAACTACCACAGATTTAACATTGAAAATTTGAAGTATGGCCTAGGGTAACTTTTTACCTTCTCAAACTCCTCTTTGTTTTTTGGTGGTGGCAACATTGGAGCATTAGGATTCTTCAATCTCTCTCTGGGCTGAGCATTAAAGGGCAGTCCTGAAGGAGGTGGTGGAAGAGTATGCTCCATCATTGAAGGAGGAATGTATATAGGATGTGGAGGAATAGGAACAGCTTTGCCCCAGCCTAGTTTCATTTCAAATGACATGATCATCTTGCCTGGCAAACAAAAGATTAAGAACATGTATGCTATTAGCAATAGGATCTTTGGAGGTAATAAATTCATAGGACTGCCACAACTCGAAAGCAACTTGACAATACATAGCGAAAGCAACAACAGGTTGTCAGCGACATCTGTATTTCAGTACAAATATTTCTAACTTATTATTATTGTCAGTTTAAACATATTTAAACTCACTAGTAGTCTAGTTTTACCATGTTCATACATAGCACATCAATATTAATCATGTGCCATCAAGTCAATTCTGACTTATAGCAACCCTTTCCAGGGTTTTCTAAGTAGACAGTACTCAGAAGTGGTTCACCATTCCCATCTTCTGGGGGTACCCTGGGACTCTTCTCCCAGGAAACACAGTGGGAAATGACTGCCATCAGCAATGTTGCTTCCTGTAACTTTTTTTGGGGGGGAGGGGTGTCCTAGTTATGCCCAAAATGAGGCTGGCAATATTGTCTTAGGAAACATAAGAACATAAGAAGAGCCCAGCTGGATGCTTCTGGGAGCACACGAGACAACAAGATACCTGTCTCTTGATACCACTCCCCTGCATCTGCCATTTTGAAGTACTTGCATTTTAAGTCTGGAGATTATAACCCCCATAATGGCTTGCAACCTGCGATGGACTTCTCCTCCAGAAATCTGTCCAATCCCCTTTTAAAGGCATCTAGGCCAGATATCATCACTACATCCTGTGGCAAGGAGTTCCACAGACTGACAACACGCTGGATAAAGAAATCTTTTGTCTGTTCTCACACTCAATTTGAGTGGATGTCCCTTGGTATTGCATGGGAGGGAAAAGAGCTTCCCTCTATCCTAGAAGTGTCAAACTCAATTTCATCTTGGGCCAAATCAGCATTATGGTTGCCTTCAAAGAGCCAATTGTATTTGTAAGACTATATAAATATAGCAATGGGAGTACGTAATAGCGACAACTAGGTGCTGTATGCCACCCAAGCGGCTGTACTTTCTTACTCTTCGCTGCTTGGAATACTGGGATTATAAGTCCTGCTGGGCAGATTCCCAGCATCCTTGCAGAGCATTACAGGTAACCAAGTAAGGCACCTGCGTATTATATACTGCATAGTAGCAGGCAACACTGTGGGGGCCACATGAATGAACCAGCTTGCTGGACTCAGCCCATGGGTCTCGAGTTTGACACATGTGCTCTATTCATTTAATCCATCCCCTGCATAATTTTATATGTCTCAATCATGTCCCCCCTCAGGAGCCTTTTTTAAAAAGCCCTAAACACTGTAGCCGTTCCTCATAAGGGAGGTGCCCCAGCCCAGTAATCATTTGAGTCGCTCTCTTCTGCACTTTTTCCAGTTCCACTATGTCTTTTTTGAGTGCAGCAACCAGAACTGTACGCAATGCTCCAGGTTCGGCTTTGTTTTGTACAATGGCATTTTATTTTCAATCCCCTTTTTAATGATACTTAGCATGAAACTGGCCTTCTTCACTGCCACTGCACACTGGGTTAACACTTTCATCGAGCTTGTCCACCAGCAACCAAGATCTCTTTCCTTCACAGTGAAAAAGTCTGAGAATATCTGAGTACAGATACCCTCCTGTTCCTCAATAATCCCCACTAGAAAGTACAGTGTTTTTTAAACAGTCTTCTAGTAAAATACGAAAATGAACTTAAGACTTTCATTACCATTTAAATTCTTTAATGCGCGTTCAGCATCTCTCCTATTCATGAAGGCAACAAATCCACAATTTCTCTCCCTTGCTCTTTCTTCATCAGTTCTTGGCCACATAATTTTGACACTTGCTAGAGGTCCAAAGCGTCCAAATTCTTGACAAAGCATTTCTTCATTCATCTATAGGAGGTGTAAGAACCAGAATAAGATTATTTCTCACAAATACACAACTTCCTTTAACTTTTAGATGTAAGGGGAAAACAGCTGAGAGGCTCATTAATACTGAGGGGTCATAATAAAGAGGCCACAGAAAAGACAGAATCCCTTGGAGGCCTGTTTTCAAGCATAAAATCATGATTTAGATCTAACCGTAAAACATACAAATCTAACACTGTTAGTAATACCTTTATTTTGCAAGACACAGACTCTCTAGTTTGACTTTACAGTGTGTGGTAACTTATTCTACAAAATTAATATGAAGGTATGGAAGGAGTAGATACAAAAAACATCAATTACTCATCTCAAGGCACAGGAGGAAGTATGAGCTGGGGTGGAGAATGGATTTAAGAATAAGATTTGACAGAGCACAAAGACTTAAAATTGAGTGGTACAGTCTTCAGCAGAGGTAGACAAATGTCTTCTTTTCATGAAGGAAATAGAAACTTTGTTTACTATGTACAATATGAGGAAACAAAGAAGCGGTAACAGAATTCCCTGTAGGCATCTTCAGAATCAAGCTGGTACATTTGTACTATTTTCATTACAACTGAAAGAATGATACACAATATGAAGGTGGGAAGCAGGCATAGGACTTTCATATTTCAAGGACATCTGTCCCAATAAATAAGCCAGAACTCCCCAGGCTGAATTACAGAAATGAAAAATCTCAAACTAGCAAGAGGTAGAGCAGCCCTCTCACCTCCCTGTTATTCCCATGGTATTTCTCTGTTGAGAAGGGGGGAAAGCATCCCCCTGCAATGTGTGTGTCGTAAGCAACATTCCCTCTAATTTTCAGCCCCACCGGATGGAGCACTGCTTCTCTCTCTTGCGGCTTCTCCCAGTGTGCATGCACAGCTCTCCCCCCCACACACACACCTTTAACTAATACGATCAATGCACAGAGAAGGAAGAGAGCTGCACGGAAGGAAGCAGAGTCATGCGCGCACCCAGCTTAGTGGGAACCTTGGTCATGAGGATTCTCTGAAAATCGAAACAGTTGATGGGAGGTTGAGTTCTAATGGAGGCCAAGAGCCTTTGTAAGTTTCAAGGAATCCTCACAACTCACACACTGCAGTAGGATTTTTTTTTCCCTGCTCAGCAGAGAAAAACAGCATGGAAACAGCATGTGCAATGAAGAGCTTTAACTTCCATATTTTGACCTGGGGAATTCTTGTCAATTTATGGGACTGAAGGTCTTTGAAATATGAAAGTCTCGTCCCTAGTGGGAAGTTTCTTTACAGGAAAGATACAAGATTACAAAAGTTCCAACAGATAACTGTGTAAGCTTAGGAGCCTGGATTCAAATCCATACTGAATTACAGATTTATGCTAATCACTATCACAATTCCATAGAAGTAAAACGGAGAAAAAAATGGCATTGTTGAGCAAAAATGTTAACATACTTAGTAGTATGCTAGGTAAATACAGTAATATTATACATTCCAGACATCAGAAGCAATGTAAAATTACTGTAGGAAACAATGGTCTAAATTTTTTCAATTACCTGGGGATTAATGTTTCCAAGATACAAATTTGTGGTACTTGGATCTCCTACATCATGTGAACCTGGAGCATAGTCATCAAGCACTGAAAAAAGAAATCAAGATGTAATCCCAAGCATACATTTTAAATAAACCAAATATTATAACTGAAAAGTTATGAAACTATATTACCACCTGATGATCTGTTTCTTCTTGAAGGCGCATCTACTAAAGGAAAGACAGGGTGCCTTTTTAGTTTCAAGTTTTCTTTGAATAAAAGCATTATAATGAAGTATCAAATACTTACTGGAACGACGCTGGCCATCTGAATCTGACTGTGGTGGCTCAAAGCGACTTAATCTACCTTTGGTTTTATGCCTTTCATCACGCTCTTCTTGAATTCTATAGAGTATGAAAATTGTGACTGGCTACATCTCAAATCATCACAGTTAAACATGTTTGTTTTTAAACCAACACACAAGCTAGCCTTACACAACAATGGTTTATAATCACTTCTAAAACCAAATAAATTTTATAACAGTTGAGATTCTTTAGATTCTGTGATATCATCATCTTTAACCCAGTGTAGGTCCACTTCAAACCAGTGGAACATTAGTTTTCAACATGCAAATTGTTTCTAGTTTAGCATACACTTATGTCATCTGAGCTTGCATAGAAGGCAGAAATCTTGTGGCCTCAACTTTTTTTTCTTTTTTGCAATCTCCTTTCTCCACTAGTCTCTTCCCATTCTATTTCATGACCAAGAAAACAGTTCATGTGATTAAATAGCTTGGGAGCACCAAAAGAGTTTCGAGCAGTGACCCACAATTGTGGTGCAGAGTGACAATAGTTGTCTTGTGGATGTGTGAGGCATCTATGTGGCAGGCAGAAGAGTACAATCCCAGATGTATCTGCACCAGGAAAGTGACCATGCTGTGCGTCTATTTCAAGAAAAATGTCTGCCAAGGACCATAGGTCTCCTCAGCCTCTCAGCTGGATGGGATGGGACCTTGCAAGAACATATTATTATTGACTGGGAAGAACCAGCACATGACCACATGGTGTCTTGAGGATGGAATGAAATGGAGGAAAAGATCCCTACTTTATTTACAAAAACAATTAGAATGCAAAACCATTCACAACAGCAGCCCCTCCCCTTCCTAACCCACATAGTATACCTTTAGGAAAATAATGAGGGAAATTCAGGAAAGTGAGCTTGTTTGAAAAAATTCCCCAGGAAAACCTTTATTTGACAGTGGGAATCAGTGCTTTGCTTCTTCAGAGACTAAGGAGCAAGCCTCAATAGTCTTTTTTATGCCATCTAGTGTCTGGAACAAGGAATGTTTCAATCCCTCTCTAAAGCCATTACAGTTTTTTTTCAAAAGTTTTGAGAGTTTGCACAGGCCTAGAAAACTGTGGTCTCTTTGTGGATTCTAAGCCCTGATTTTCTGATGTATAGGGTGTCTTGGTTACAAAGAACATGTTTACTAAATCAGCAACAGTCTATAAATGAGCAGCTAGAGTTTTAACTGATTTGATTTCCATGCAGCTATCAAAGCGACTGTACTTGCTTCCCAATGAAAAGAAAAGATATTCTTGTTCGCAGGCTTGCCTATCAGAACCGCAGAGGGATGAAGAATGTAAAACAAACGAAAAAAAGTTCCTTTTACTAGAAGGGAAAATATTAAAATAACTGGTGGGCAGAAAAGAGGATATAGTTAAGGTGTGAAAAGAGAAATGAAAATATGCATGTCCAAGCTAAGTAGAAAAGAAGATGAGGACCTAGCTTCTATTCTGAAAGAGAGCAAGAAATTAAAAGAGGCCAGAAGAGGAAAAGATAGTTAATGAATGTCAGTTGCATGGTTCCTTCTTTCTGAGCGAGAAAGAAAATGTAAGTTTCCAATGAGTCACTGTAACCAACAGATGAAATTGCAAAACTGACATCCCAAAATGTCTAACTAGTGTGTAAATTCCATGGAGTACAACTGGATTGGGAACACAGCTGAGTGAGTCCTGCAATGTAGGGAATAAAAGGTTGAATGTGCTTTGGGAAAAGGGGTAAAAAAGAAACACAAAGGACTGAAATGGAAGAAATGGTTTCTTACCTAGATGAAGTTGGGTATGTTTCCCAGTAAACATAAGAATTCTCACTCATCCCCCTTCCCACAAATTACATAGGTATTCCAAAACCAGTTGTTTCCAAGTTGGGGCCCAAGATGTTATTGGACTACAGCTCTCAGAAGCCGCAAACATAGATTGCATTGACTAAGGATCTTTCGATACATAGAGCAAGAACATCTAGGGGCCCAAAATTGGGAATCACTGATTCAAAATAAATTAATAAAATAGGGGTCCTTTTGAAATTAGTGGGAGAAGTTAATCATGACTGATTTCAGACAAAACCAAGTTTAATTAACAATACTGAATCCAATCCAAAAGAAGTTTGAACCAAAATTCAAAGTTTCACTGGTAGCATTTGTATTTCCTGGAATTTACCAAGCTCTGATTTTAAAGCACAACACTTTGACTCTCAGGCAAAAGTAGGTGATAGCTGCGTTAGATCATTAATTCATAGATAAGCGGTGTTCAGCCTAATGAAGGCACATATAAACCAAAGGTCTGTGATTTCTAGTGATCCAATAAAGGTATTGCCTACCTTTGCCTCTGGGTTGCGTACAAGAATCATAGGGCTTTTTTCTCATTCATTGGTCTATGACTTTTGTACATCATTTTAAAATTGGTTTCAGTGTTTCACAGCAAAAGACTGATGACAGTCCTAGTATACAATTTACTACAATGCAGTTACAGTATTTATTAAAACAAATATTTCTAAAAATAAGAGCATGCTTGTTTCATGGTAGGCCAAATGTTTCATCTATTACAGATTCGTAACGGTTTAACAACAGAATTTTAAAACATATGTGGAGAAAGACAGCATACACATGCATGTATCCCACACACAATGTTTTATTCATCCAGTCTGAGATTCAAGCAAGATGAAATACCAAAAGGAATAAAAAAAACGATCAGCAATTTAATTTTCACTGATTTATCAGTTTAGGGCCAATCCTTCAGTACAAAAAATAATTTCTGAGTATTTGGTAGTTGTGGGTTTTTTTGGGCTCTTTGGCCAGGTTCTGAAGGTTGTTCTTCCTAACGTTTCGCCAGTCTCTGTGGCCAGCATCTTCAAAGGACAACACTCCGATTCCTCTGAAGATGCCGGCCACAGAGACTGGTGAAACGTTAGGAAGAACAATCTTCAGAACACGGCCAAAGAGCCCGAAAACCCACAACAACCATTAGATCCCGGCCGTGAAAGCCTTCGCGAATATATCTGAGTATTTGCATTTCCTAAAATTACTTTCCTTATTCCTACATATCTCATTCAAACAATATTGAATAAAATACTTACTGTTTCAATTCTTCTTTAAAAAGCTCCAAATTGCTCTTTTTCTTTTCTTTTTCCCCCTTCTTTAAAGGCTAAAAAAGAAAGTTAAATAAGTATCCATTCACAACTGTTGTATAATACATTGCTGACAACACAAGTTACATATGATACATTCTTAATACCATGCAAACCAACAGTGGTAAGTTAACAATTGAGAGCTCTACCTTTTTTATATAAACTACTGCATGGTCAGAGATAATTCCCATTATCAGATCTAAAAACTACGGAGCAGTGCACATATTACATCTAATGTCAAGACCAAACACTAAACAATCATAAGGACTTTCAAAGTAACATGTCTCAATGTAGTATGAAATATTGTGCCCTATGAAGCTCTGAAATGAGAAGACAACAAAGGGCCCCCATGGCTTCTAATAATTAATACCAATTGTAACATAACTTCAATTTACGTTTTTAAAATGGGCAGATAATACTTATAGGCTTACAATAAATGTTATAAGAAAAGCAATCATACTCATACTTACTTGACATCAGTAAAACTTACATTCAGCTAAGTATGCTCAGCAAATATCCCAAAATGGTAAAGTGCTTTCCAACTTCAGACTTCAAATTACACAGTTCATAGGTTATATGACTAAACACTCTTCTTTCAAACAAACCAGGACTGAGAATTACATGGTCCATTGGCAGCATGTCCCCCAATTGCCATTTTTTTTGGCAATCGGGGGGGGGGGAATCATCAAGAATGCTTTTTTATTTTCCCCAAAGACAGCATCATTCTCACAGGTGTTCTTTCTTTTTATGGAATTTTTTTAATTTTAAAAAATGCTACAAAATTCAACTTTGAAGCATTTTTATTTAGTCTAATAGAGCCCCAAGAAAATTCTGGAGTTGGAAAAATGACCTTCAGATTCATCAAGGCTGCCTACATCTCATATACACAAATAAAGAGTCCCTACACACGGAGGTCTAGCAGGTTAGTAAGAAAGCTAAACTAGAACATTTCCCAATATGTGCCTTCCTTGCTGGCAGGGAATTAATGTACATGAAATAACATTCTATCCTGGGAGTCCCTGCTTACATCTTTAAGCAGTATAGTCAAGGAACAGGTGAATTTTTTATGTGTAGAAACTAGATTTAAGCACAATATAAGATTCTGCAATATGCTTCAACAGCTGAGGTAAGTAAGTACCCTGATGTCTAAACCTGCTATCTAATAATACGGCAATTCCCATATCATACAAAGCATTATGCACAGATCTGCTTCAAGTGGTGAGAAAAAGAGGCACTTGTGCCTCAATCTAAAACTTGCAGAAAGCCATTAAACACTTAATCTTTCTGTCTAATGGCTTTAATAAGATGACTCCCTCTAAGTTTATACTTGGAATAATATATAATTAAAGGTAAAGGTAAAAGTTCCCCGTGACAAATTGTCCAGTCGTGTCCAACTCTAGGGGGCAATGCTCATCCATGCTTCCAAGCCATGTGCCCGTAGACAGTTTCCGTGTGCGACCAGACACAGAACTCCGTTACCTTCCCACCATGGTGGTACCTATTTATCTACTTACATTTTTACATGCTTTCGAACCGTTAGGTTGGCAGGAGCTGGGACGAGCAATAGGGGCTCACTCCGTCGCGTGGATTCAAACTGTTGATCTTATGACCTTGCAGCCCAGAGGCTTTGCGGTTTAACCCGCAGTGCCACCAAATCAGTTCTGACTTGTGGTGCTCCTTACTCAGGTTTCATAGGTACAGCATACTCAAAAGTAGTTTACCATTCCCCTATTCTAGGGGCACCTCGGGACTGTGCAGGTTGCCTAAGCTACACAGACTGGTTCTTCTCCTGGGATGCACAGTGGGAAATCAAACCCCCAACCTCTGGCTCTGCAGCCAAACAGACCTGGCATGCCCCCCTCCCCAATTTTTATTTGACTGAAACACTAGAAGCTATTCCAAGTCCTCCATACAGAGCATGCTACCATAGTCTCTCGAGACTGAAGGATGTCTATGATGATGAAAACCTCCCACCACTAGCTATGATGGGTATAGATAATGGGAGATGCAACAGAGCAATATCAAGGCAAACAAATACCATCCTCCATAATTTGGACAAGAGGAGTAAAAACAGTCAATTCCCAAACTAGAATGTTACAATAATTTATTTAATACAATTAATGTAACTATGCAGATATGTCATAATTAACTCTGTGTCATCAAGTCAATTTTGGCATATAGGGACCCTTTTCAGGGTTTTCTAAGTAGAGAAGACTCAGAAGTAGTTTACTATTCCCTTCTTCTGGGGACATCCTAGAACTCTGCAGTTTGTCTAAGACTACACAGGCTGGCTCTTCTCAAGGAAGTACAGTGGAGAATCAAACTCCCAACCTCTGATTCCACAGCCAGATACCTAACTCACTAAGCTATCAAGTCTGTTAGAATTATCATAACCAGAGCACAGAGTGCTGTCCTCTGAAGATGCCGGCCACAGAGACTGGCGAACGTTAGGAAGAACAACCTTCAGAACATGGCCAAAGAGCCCGAAAAACCCACAACAATTAGATCCTGGCCGTGAAAGCCTTCGCGAATACAATTATCATAACTGCCCATAAATGTTTCTTAAATTAAAGGCCATTACAAGAGGTGCAAAATAAGAAAAGATTTAAGATTACAGGTTATTTAATTCATAATGCCAAACTAAGATTCAACAGTGCATAATAACAAATCTAAGAACAAGGAGCAACAAACTTTTCTGTGAAACTAAGCTTACTGGCTTTTTGGTTTCTATTATTAGAAGTGATGGAGGTCTCTCATTAGAGGACGATTCTTTCTGTTGATTTTTTTGATCAGCAAATCGTGACGAAGGTTTGTAGATTTTTCCTCGTTTTTCATCAGTTTCATGTTCTTCTGGAAGACAGGTCAGTGGTTACTAAAATGCCTAAAGACTCAAAGAGCTATTATAAGCACACAAACAGATCTAAGCATGCTCAGTGATCCTGCTTTTAAGCCATGAGGAGGTGACTAGCATCCCAGATGGTCTTGGATATAATTTTCACAGTGACTCACTATAGAGTAAGGTCAACAGGAGTTGCAAGCCAGAAACATCTGAAGGATATCCTTGCTTTAACAGAAGCCATTCCCTATACCAGTGGTTCTTAACCTTTGTTACTCGGATGTTTCTGAACTGCAACTCCCAGAAACCCCAGCCAGCACAGTTGTTGGTGAAGGCTTCTGGGAGTTGCAGTCCAAAACTCCTGAGTAACCCAAAGTTAAGAACCAGTGCCCTATACCATATCACTAACTATATGCGACCCTTTGGATTTCAAAAAGAGACTGCATGGCTGAATAGGGGAAGGGATGCTACTGTTAAGAAGGTTCTGAAGTCTCACGCTTTACTGGGCCTACAAAATGATTGATTTGGTATTTTATGTGCTTCCCATTATGGCAGAAATGCCATTACTGGCATTTCCACAAGAAAACATGGCAAAAAGTTAATCTGAAACCAATGAGTACATCCAACATTCTGACAACAGATTGTTGAACTTACTTCCTTTCTTTTATCTACTACAACCTGAAACAATGCCCTAAACCTAGTCCCAGAGCACAGTATCACACCCCATTCTATTGGAACCCATTGTTATGACAGTGAAAAGTCCCTTCCTGGATACAGTTCCAAGTCAATATAGACTGGACACGTGGCAGGAAGCAGTATAATTACATTAAATGATTTCAGTGTGAGACATAAGAATGAACTATCCACATATATATGTTATGGAACATACAAATGCTTCCCTAATAACTATTAAACTAGAACATGAGACAGAACAATGGCATCTTCTCGAGCATCTATCCAACAGTAAACTGTTATAATAGAATAAAAATACTTTAGAAATAATTTAAAGTTGAAAATATATTTTCAACCTAAGGTAAATAGCCAAACATACCTTTAGATGCATTAACAACGCCGCCTCTGACAAATGTCTTTACTTTATTACCATCACTTCCTTCAAATGCAGCAAGGAATTCTTCATAAATTTCTGCTGCTGCCTTCTCATCCTCCTACTCAACAAAGCATTAAGTAAGTTATAAGCACTAATTACTCATTTTACTCATCTTTGAAAATGAATTTCACATTTTGCATTTTCATTTTCTTATATTCTCCTAGATTTCAAACAACGGTGTAATGTAGCAACTCCTTCCACTACTATATTTGTCCAAAGAAAACCATGCAGTGTTCCATATATTTAAACTGGTAACACTGATTTGCTCACCTACTCCCTACTTATACGTAGTCCTATCAAAACATATCCCATATCCTTCCCAGGATCCCCTCAAGAACAGCAAACTACCAAGGAAAGCGGGGAATCCAAATCTGTTAAGCTCCATACTGAATAAGACAAAATAATGATTAAACTGGTTATTTTCAAAGTTGTAATGAATCTGAAGTTCTCCAGATCTCAAATTATTTATATCATATAGCTCATCTGACTTAGAAGCAACAGGTTACCCACCTGTAATTGTTGTTCTTCGAGTGGACCTCTGTGTTTCACACCCTGGGTGATTCGCACCTGCTTGGAGCACCATCGGAAGATTCTAGAGCTTCTGTGGTAGCAATGAACACATTAGAATATGCCCCTCCCCACCCGTATAAGTACCTTGGCGCCAAGCATTCCCTTTCAGTTGTGACACCCACCGCTTAACAGTAAGCAAACAATGGTGTGACAGAGGAGGATGGGCGGGATGTGTGAATCACAGAGGGGTGGGAATCCTCGGGCAAGGGAATAACTGACGGACTGCTGGAAGGAATGGAAGGTTATAGACTGGGAGGAGAGGATGTTAGTTGGTCAACTCTATCATCCCATTCTGGAGACAGAGAACAGGGTTGATGAGATGGAAGTCTGTCGTCATCTAAGGGAGAGCCGACCTAAATTGATTCAGAGAATTGTGGTTGTGGTGGGATGCCTACAGGCTTAGACTGTTTAGTTCGTTTAGGAGGAACAAGCTCCGGATCTGGAGCAGCTTCAGTACGTCTCTGGAGGTTGTTTTCGAAGTCGAGGACTTCAGTATGGAGGGTTTCGATTCGTGTGTCTTCAAGGTCTTAGACAATGCAGATGGGGAATCGGAATGAGCTGGTGTAGCCGATGGACGTTGTTTTGATGATTCAGTAACGGCTTTTTCCATTGCTTTGGTTTGGGAAGTGGCCCTACAGGGAGGTTAGGCCATTTGAACTGGTTATAAGGACTGTTCCCAAAGTTGGAGTTTTAGCCTTGAGAGGCGAGATCGAAGAACTCCGCACTTAAAATTTTTGCAAGAGGTACAGGAAGTTTGATGTTGTTCTCCCAAACAGAAAAGGCACTTAGCGTGTCCATCGGAGAGTGGGATCTTATTATCATAGACAATTCAGTGCTTAAACAGGCCCAAAGGGGCCATGAATAGGAGAAAATAATTGAGGAGAAAAACCGATGATTGGAAAGGGGTGCTGCGGCCGGAGGCCAAACGAGGGGGGGGGAATCTCCGATGACAGTTTGATCTAATAGTTTAAAAGAAGCAGAATTATGAGGCTCTCAACGTAGCGGTTGAAAGAAAACTGAAAGGGGATGCTTGGCGCCAAGGTACTTATATCGGGGGGCATGTTCTAATGTGTTCACTGCTACCGCAGAAGCTCTAGAATCTTCCAATGAGGCTCCGCGCAGGTGCGAATCACCCAGGGTGTGATTCACAGAGGCCACAAAGAAGAATCACATGTTAATCCACTTCTCTACCTTTTAAATTTAAATGCTCTAAGGAAAATACATGTTGTTGTGCCTTTACATTCTAAAAGTACTACAGCAAAAAGAATGGGAGCTAGAGACCTAATGTCAGAACCACAAAAAGCTCAATGAACACAGTTACTGGTTATTTTTTTCTGATCAAATCCTTCAGCTGTCATATAGCTCTAATATTACTATAGCATAACTTAGTTTACTAAACGCAAGTCAAATCATGCTAAATCAATTACTTATTGAGTCATCAGAAAATTTTCTCAGTTCAACATTTTTCAGGAAACCTTTTCCTTGTGGGGAAGCCATTGGGGGTTTTAATTTCCAAACGTCAAAGTCACCAGGATGACTTTACTGGAAATGATAAACTTTGGAATTAAAAACTATTCCTACTTTATACATTCCCACCCAAAAGATTCTCCACAGACAAAAGGGCTTTGATGGGAGCCCTGGGACCAAGGGAAAGGGTTGGAATTTTTTTTATTTCTGAAAAAATCATGGTGCTGGTGGTGTCATCAACCTTACAGAACTCCAGCTGTGTGAACAGGATTTCAACCATTGTTTCAATCTCAAATCAAAATTCAGATGTGACACAGGCCAGCTAAATGTTAATACAGTGGTGCCTCACTTAACGATTGCCCCGCTCTACGACGAAATCGCTTGACGATTAGTTTTTTGCGATCGCAAAATGATGTTTTCAATGGGTCTTTTCATTTAACGATGATTGGTTCCCTGCTTCGGGAACCATTTTCGCTTTATGACGATTAAAAACAGCTGATCATCAGGTTTCAAAATGGCCGCCGGCTGCTTAAAATGGCTCCCCGCTGTGTTTTTGGACGGATTCCTCGCTTTACAGGCAGCAAAAATTTGCCGCCCCTATGGAGGATCTTCACTGGACGATGAGTTTTCAGCCCATTGGAACGCACTGAGGTGCGTTCAATGTGTTTCAATGGGCTTTGTTATTTCACTTTACGACGTTTTCGCTCTACAGCGATTTCACTGGAACGAATTAACGTCGTTAAGCGAGGCACCACTGTATCATAAACCACAAATTAAGTGACACTGGTAGCAGATGTACTTGTACATATGCTTAATTCCAAGCAATTAGTCTAAATTTCTTTTAAAGTTCTCAATCCCTAGAAGGTTCCCCCCACCAAAAAAAACAGAACTACTTCATTTTAACCAGAGCCAGAAACAATTAAATGTCTCACACACAACTCACACAATGAACAAACATTGGTTGTGCAGAAAAGTGAATGAAACGGCCAGAACAGCCAATTCAATTTCTATTCAAATCATACATTTACAAGACATCTATTTTTTCTGTCTGACATTGATCACTTTACAGACATGACGTCATATAACAGTGAATCTTAACAAGGGAGTTCAACAACACACAGCACAAGGGTGCAATTACACAGTGGAAAAAATATAAAGTGATCCACTATGAATTAGCACCAGGGAACATGGGTTTCTCTGGTTGAATTCACTTTAGCAATAAAATAGGAGTCATCAGAAAGAAAAAGAGGAAACTGCTGTTGTTTGCAGCTTCTTAAGGCAGCTTCCACTACAGTCACCTAGACTGCAGAAGCTACAGCTGAAGCTGCTTTAACAAGATACAAATATGGACAGATTGGCGATTTCCTCCTCTCTCTGTCTCTTAGGTGCTCTAGTCCAGCTCTGTTCCAGCAACAGAGCTGGGACTCTTTTTTTAAAGTTTGCCTCTCTGTCCCAGAAAAGGAAATATGATACTTTGCATTAACATAAGAACTGGCTCAAAATGCTCAAAGTAGAAACCTACCCCCCCCCTTTTTTTTTACGTTGGTGAGGTAACTATGAGATAGAAATTAAAGGCAACTTGGGCGGGGTGGGGAGACTCAAATATGGAGACAAGGGTTTTTCTGCATTGGCACAAGAAATCACTCCTGAACTGATGTGAATGCATCTGTGTGCAAAAACGAATAGATGCTTCAAAAAGTAGAGTGAAAAAGTACAGACTCTGGGGAAAAACTGGACTGATTCACATTGACTTGCACATTATGCAGCCAAAAGAAATTAATACAGATTTGACCATTCCCATCTTGGAGCAATTCCTGTATAGTTGTCAGTATAGCTGCCCCCTTAAAAAGACAGTGATGTTCAAATAAACAATAAAACGAAAAGTGGGCATCTTAAAGATAACTGGATCACCACAAGTATTCAACTGATTAAACAAACCAATGTTCTACAGCATTACCTTCTTTTTCAATTCTTCTTGTTCCTTCTTGCTTAAAGTCCTCTTAGCAGCACTCATCTTGCCAATACTGAATGCTTTAAGCTTGCTTTCTAAAAGCGGCTATGGGAGAGAGAACAATTTTAACAGGTTCATAAGAATGTGACATACAAGAATCCTAATAACCATCGAGAACACATTCAATCATTAATCATTTAATCTTTAAAGTGAACGAATTAACAGAGGTCTGCTGCATGTTATATTACATAGGCATACACTGTTTCTCACTGAAGTGAAGTAAACTGCCCTGGGAGTTCTCTCTTAAAGGCTATTCAGAGTGCAACTGATTATACCTATGCAACTGTACACACCCTGAATCAAGGATCTCTCAAGGACACACTGCCTCTTTCCATATGAAACCTTAGTAAGATCCTCATGGATGTCACAATCAAAATACTAAGTTCCTCTGAAGCAAAATCTACAAAACACAAGAGAATACTGTACTTTGTAATTCTGATGCCCTTTAAAGAATGTCTTCACTATAAACATGTACTTTTCCTAAGTTTTTCCCAGAAATCACTGCAGTAGACTCACCTGACACTTGGCCAGTCTGAAGAGTTCCACGGCTAACAAAGACAGAGAACCTAGGAAACTGCTTATTTATAAGAATATGAAGTGTAGGGAGCCTTATGGCACAAGTGGTTAAACTGCCGTGAAGACTCAGATCATGACCTGAGTGCAATTCTGTGCAGGGAGCCAGCTCAAGGTTGACTCAACCTTCCATTCTTCCAATGTCAGTATACTGAGTACCAACCTTGCAGGAGTGGGGGACAATGTTGGCCTCACTAATAAAACTGGAAACTGACAGGGCTTTAAGCACTGTTGTTGTTGTTTAGTCATTAAGTCGTGTCTGACTCTTCATGACCCCATGGAACAGAGCACACCAGGCCCTCCTGTCTTCCACTGCCTCCCAGAGCTGGGTCAAATTCATCTTGGTCGCTTTGATGACACTGTCCATCCATCTCATCCTCTGTCGTCCCCTTCTTCTCTTGCCTTCACTCTTTCCCACCATCAGGGGCTTTTCCAGGGGCATTTCTCTTCTCATGAGATGGCCAAAGTATTGGAGCCTCAGCTTCAGGATCTGTCCTTCCAGTAAGCACTTGAGGTTGATTTCCTTCAGAATTGATAGGTTTGATCTCCTTGCAGTCTAGGAGACTCTCAAGAGTCTCCTTCAGCACCACAATTTAAAGGCATCAATTCTTCGGCGATCAGCCTTTATGGTCCAGTTCTCATTTCCATACAACACTAGTGGAAAAACCATAGCTTTGACTATGTGGACCTTTGTCGGCAAGGTGATGTCTCTGCTTTTTAAGATGCTGTCTAGGTTTGTCAAGGCTTTCCTCCCAAGAAGCAGGTGTCTTTTAAATTCATGGCTGCTGTCACCATCTGCAGTGATCACAGAGTCCAAGAAAGTAAAATCTGTCACTGCCTCCATATCTTCCCCTTCTATTTGACAGGAGGCGATGGGACCAATGGCCATGATCTTAGATTTTTTGATGTTGAGCTTCAGACCGTTTTTTGCATTTCCACTTTCACCCTCATTAAGAGGTTCTCTCCTCACTTTCTGCTATCAGAGTGGTACGAGGTTCATTTGCATATCTGAGGTTGTTGATATTTCTTCTGGCAATCTTAATTCCGGTTTGAGATTCATCCAGTCCAGCCTTTCGCATGATGTATTCTGCATATAAGTTAAATAAGCCGGGGGACAATATACAGCTCTGTCGTACTCCTTTCCCAATTATGAACCAATCAGTTGTTCCATATCCCGTTCTAATTGTTGCTTCCTGTCCTACATATAGATTTCTCAGGAGATAGATAAGGTGGTCAGGCACTCCCATTTCTTTAAGAACCTGCCATAGTCTGCTGTGGTCCACACAGTCAAAGGCTTTTGCATAGTCAATGAAGCAGAAGTACCGTATATTTCTGTGTATAAAACGACACTTTTCCTTAAATAATTTGAGAAAAAATGAGGGTCGTTTTATACAGGGAAGGCAGCTCTTCACCACTGCCTTTTGCAAAGGTAAGGGACTTAGCAAAAAGGAAGGGGAGACTTTGCTCCTTTCCTTTTCACTAAGATTCCTGACTTCTGAAAAGGCGAGGGCACACGTGCAGGGCTTACTAAAAAGGTAGGTGAGTCAATGCTCCCTTCCTTTTCCTTCTCAAAAGGCGAGCGGTGCAGTGCAGGGCTTACCAAAAAGGAAGGTGAATCATTGCTCCCTTCTCAAAAGGCGAGGGCACGCCGTGCAGGGCTCTGCAAAATGAGTTGTTGCTTCCTTCCTTTTCGCCTTCTCAAAAGGTGAGGGCGCGCTGGGCTTAGCAAAAAGGGAGCCCTTTGATCCCTGCCTTTTCTAATTTGGGGTCAGAAAGGGGGATCATCTTATACTTTGGGTCATCTTATAAACGGAAAAATATGGTAGATGTTTCCCTGGAACTCTCTGGCTTTCTCCATAAACCAGCGCATATTAGCAATTTGGTCTCTACTTCCTATGTCCCTTCAAAATCCAGCTTGTACTTCTGGTAATTCTCGGTCCACACACTGCTGAAGCCTACCTTGTAGGATTTTTGCTATCTTGCTAGTGTGTGAAGAGTGCAACTGTACGATAGTTGGAGCATTCTTTGGCACTGCCCTTCTTTGGGATTGGGATGTAGACTGATCTTTTCCAATCCTCTGGTCACTTCTGAGTTTTCCAATATGCTGGCATACTGAGTGTAGCTGCATGTTATATTACATATAAAAGATTAACAGAGTCATCTTTGAAGATTTTAAATAGTTCTACCGGAATGCCATCACCTCCACTGGCCTTGTTGTTAGCCATGCTTTCTAAGGCCCACTTGACTTCACTCTCCAGGATGTTTGGCTCAAGTACAGCAACCACACTCTCTGGGTTGTCCGGGACATCCAGATCTTTCTGGTATAATTCCTATAATTGTATTCTTGCCACCTCTGCTTGATGTCTTCTGCTTCTGTTAGATCCCTATCTTTTTTGTCCTTTATCATGTCCACCTTTGCACAAAATGTTCCTCTAATATCTCTAATTTTCTTGAACAGATCTCTGGTTTTTGCCTTTCTATTGTTTTCCTCTATTTCTTTGCACTGTTCAATTAAGAAGGCCCTCTTGTCTCTCCTTGCTATTCTTTGGAAGTCTGTGTTCAATTTTCTGTAACTTTCCCTATCTCCCTTGCATTTTGTTTCCCTTCTCTTCTTTGCTATTTGTAAGGCCTTGTTGGACAGCCACTTTGTTTTCTTGCATTTCCTTTTCTTTGGGATGGTTTTTGTTGCTGCCTCCTGTACAATGTTACGAGCCTCCATCCATAGTTCTTCAGGCACTCTGTCCACCAAATCTAGTTCCTTAAATCTGTTCTTCACTTCCACTGTGTATTCATAAGGGATTTGGTATAGACTGTACCTAACTAGCCCAGTGGTTTTTCCTACCTTCTTCGGTTTAAGCTTGAATTTTGCTATGAGAAGCTGGTGATCAGAGCCACAATCAGCTCCAGGTCTTGTTTTTGCTGACTGTATAGAGCTTCTTCATCTCTAGCTGCAGACACTTTGCTTTGATGTTTTCTAAAAGTTTGACATAAACTATTTCCCTCATAAATTCTACTGCAGTTAGCCCTTCTATTTCCCCATTTCTACTTACATCAAGGGAAACAACATTGCTGAACTCCTTGCTACAATGAAACCACCGTGAGAAAGAAGTGAGCAATTTCTAAATAAAAACTAGTGTCAATATAACATTGTCAGTTTTGTCTGTTGATGTTTCCAAACCCTGCCTTCCACTGCTGCAATTCTGTAACTGGCTTTGTCCCTACACTAGTATTCTGTGACTAGTGGGGATCATCCCATTTTCAGCAATCTTGCATGCGAGTTCTGAAGAAAGATAATGCCTGAACTAGAGTGCGGTACAGTATTAATAATGACACATTTACACACCTGAACCTCAGGGGCTTTTTGGAAAAACCTTCTGCTTTTGTTCCTCCCTTTCTCCAAACATATCCAGTGCAGTGTTTATTCCTAAATGAACATCTAATTTGTTTTAGGTGTCACAATTCTTGTAAGCCAGTTGTTCTCAATCTTTGATGGTGCAGCTATTTTTTGACTTCTAGTCTCAGAATCTGTAACCTCTAGTACTGTTGGCTAAAGCTTAGCTAAAGTCTAAAACACCTGGAAGGCCAGAACATGAATGCAACTGCTATAAGCCACCCAGAATTCCAGCTGCTTGGCAATACATAAATGTATTAATTAAATCAAGTCCCAGCTGAAATTTCTCCTGTTCTGTTACATACAGGAAAATGCTATAAAAATGTCTAACCATGATATAAAACAATGCACCTTATATGGGATTCTTCCTTCAATATAATATATATCTTTTCCCAACCAAGCCCACAATCCTTTGCATAGGACACAGCATGGCAGTTTGGACACAAAATAATAAACAAATACAAACCTAACAACAACTAAAAAGGAACATTCAAAAATTTGTGATACAATATTACAATATCTGCTACAATCAAAGTAGCAATTCTTGAAGGAAATAACTTCTAAGATAGATTCTAATCGAAACAGCTGAGCAACGATTCACCAGAAGGTTCATGTCTATCTCCCATGGCTTATAAAGGCTTTTTACATCATTAAATACACTAATCAACTCATCTATGCAAGACTACATTACTGCCCAATTTGCTCTTTTTATGCCCACTGTTTGAGCACTCTTTTCTACCTGTAATCTTTGCAGTCCTATCTTCTCCAGACTTTTAAATTTCAATTGCCCTAATTTCATCTCCCTGCCCTGAATAAGTAAATGTGTTTTAACACTTCACATTCTTGATAAAGTATACAACAGTCCACAAATGCTTACACCAAATAAAACATGTCAAGACTTTTAAGGTGCCAGAAGACCCTCTGTTGCTTTTGCTGCAACAGACCAGCATGGATATTGCCCCCAATACATCTGCTGTATACTAATATAATTGTCAGTGAAATAATTCAATGTCACTCTGCTGTATGAATAAAGCCAACCTTCATATCAATGAATAACAAAGCAATCCAAATTTCTTTCATCTAATATCTTGAAGTGCTTCATAAGAAAGAATTATCTCTATCACATCAAACTGTAGGACAGCTAATACCACAGGGCATTGTACTGTAACCAATATCCATAAGAGGTAAAAGCCATGTGGGGGAAAATGAACCATGGTAAACTTAATGACTATAACTCATTCTCTTTTCAACTGGTGAAAATTTTTAGATAACCATCAGAGAGAATTAACCACAAGCTAACTAATTTTCCATCAGTTAGATTTTTATACCCATCTTGAGACTTACATGAGTCTCTGGCGATCCAGTGGCACGTGTAGTATCTGGCAGCCTGGCCTAAAAATAGTGAAAATACAATAATCACATTCAATTGGCATTTATTGATTTTCAACATTTATATAAAGACACAGATTTAAACTGCCTCCAGTTTTAATTGAAAACTCAAGTGTTTGATTCTAAGAGTATCCGGAGAATTCATATAATCTCTTTCCCACAATTCTGCAGTTAGTTTTTAAAAAATTCTATAGAATAATGGCAATAAGAACAAAAGACTGAATATTTTTCTGAAAATGAGAAGTAGCAATCTCATGGTTGATTTAATTATTCTGGCCACTTTATGCCAATCTAAAGAAGCAGTGTATATACGCTAAACAAAGGTTTTTAAATAACTGTGAGTTTGTAGCAGTTATTTTCAGTTAAATAAAAATGAAAGTTATAAGAAAAATGAACCAGATCACAACAAAATTTCAAGACAGATGTTCCTGTCATCACTACTTTATATCAACAAATTTATTTAAAAGAGTGGATCCCAATCTTTGTTCTCCAGATGTTTTTGGACTAAAATTACCAGAAACCTTCACCACTAGCTGTGCCGGACAGGAATTCTGGGAGTTGCAGTCCAAGAACAACTGGGGACCCATGGTTTGGAACCACTGTTAAAACTTCAATGTGTCAACTGGGTGTAATTTTGGGTGCAAACCTTGGTGTAATTTTCAGTATACTCAGACACAGACATGATACAAAGTTATGCAAGCCCATTCCCTCTCCCCTTTCAATAGTAAGTGACTGCATTCAATAATAAGTGAATCACAGGACTCATGAGTGCTACAACAGTAGTAGACAGTACCCTATCACTGGGACCTCGATGCTAGTTTCGAAGCATCAATGACCAAACAAGACCAATCTAATAAAAGAATGAAAAATTATGGTACTGTATTTTCCCTGCAAACTGCTATTTGGCATAATGTTTGAACAATATTTAACCTAAGCAGCTGGGTGCATCACAAGTTAGACTGATACTGTACTATCATGCACAATAAGCAACATGACCAATACCTAAGCAGCTGGGTGCATCACAAGTTAGATTGATACTATCATGCACAATAAGCAGCATGACCAATGATTATAAAAACTGTTGCCCAGTAAATTCTGCAAAGCCACTGGCTGCCCACCGACAATTTAAAGAATCTCTGCTTTATCTAAATAATGAGCAACAACTGATCATCTACAATGATGGTCTGACAGTTTTTTGAGCCACAGTTTACCATTTCAATGCCACTTGGAATTACGTAATAAAAGTGCATTACACCCCCCACCCCTCTGTAAAACTCTTTTCTAAATTTACAACCAATCTGACATACCAATGATATATTAACAGCACTTCTTCTGTTTATATCAATGTTTCATAATTAGTAGTTTTCATATAGGCACTATTACCAAGGACTGCGGGTTAAACCACAGAAGCCTCTGTGCTGCAAGGTCGGAAGACCAGCAGTCGTAAGATCAAATCCACACAATGTAGTGAGCTCCCATCACTTGTCCCAGCTCCTGCCAACCTAACAGTTTGAAAGCATATAAAATGCAAGTAGATAAATAGGCACCACCACGGTAGGAAGGTAACGACATTCTGTGTCTAGTCGCGCTGGCCACATGACCACAGAAACTGTCTACAGACAAACACTGGCTCTATGGCTTGGAAACAGGGATGAGCACCGCCCCCTAGAGTCGGACACGACTGGACTAAATGTCAAGGGGAACCTTTACCTTTATCTTACCCTGTTTCTGTTTAGTTTTTGTTTTTAATTTGCTGAAAACTAGTTTAGCCCTACAAAATCACCTAATGACAAGACAAGGAACCAACAGCATTTTACCAAAAATGTTACTAGCAGTGCAACCACTGTGTTAGCTTCCATTTTCAACATGTTAAACTATTCAGACCAATGACCCTCCATCACAATGCAAACGTTTTCAGGTACAATCCTGAAATTGCTTTCTCCATAACAGTCCACTATCTGTCTAAAATATCTTTAATTAATATCTTTAATGTTAAAGATGTCTAAAATATCTTTACCCCACCTTTCTCCCTAAAAGGAGTCAAAGTGACTTACAACATTAGAAGGACAATATCTTAAAGCTAAAAAGAGTAAATATACAAAATTTAAAAAGAATTAAAGAAATATAATATTGAAATGCTAAATAAAATCAATACTAAAAACACATTTACAGTAAAAGCAAAAGAGCACAACAGTCCAATCCAGAGCACAACAATCCAATCCAGAGCACAACAATTTGGGAAAAAAAACCACCTCTCAGACTGCCAGTCACTGAGAAAAAGCTTGCCTGAACAGAAAGGTCTTTGCCTGCTTGTGGAAGGACAGCAAAACTGAAGCTAGCCTGGCTTCCCGTGGGAGGGCATTCCAGAGTCTGGGAACAGCAACAGACAAGGCTCTCTCTTGTGTCCCCACCAAGCATGTTTGTGAGGGTAGTGGAACTGAGAGAAAGGCCTCCCCTGATTATCTTAATGCCCAGGCAAACTCACAGAAAAAGATATGATCTTTTAGACAGTGTGGACCCAAGCCATTTAGGGCTTCATAGTGCGAAAGGCCAAACTGGATGACACACGTTCTTAATCTTTCATTGGATTCTGGTCCAGAATTTCCAAAACTAAGAGTCTATTTTTCTATTACTTTAACAAAGTAACTGAAGACTAAATGTTGCAAGTCACAGGCTATATAGGAAAAATATTCAAAGCTCACACATGCAGTGCAAGCAGCAGCACTTTCTGCTTAAAAGATAATATTAATAGCACAATACTTTATAATTTAGAATGTTTTCCATCTTTTGTTTTACTGAAATAATCCTGTGGAAGAATTACTGCACTCCAGGCAAAGGCCAGGATGCAAGAGAACCTGTGCAAAACCACTGTAATTCACAATTCCATCCCCTTTTAAACAGCTACCCCCGTGCTGTGTAATAAAGCGTTTCTGAGAGTACTAAATTTCAACACAGTTTGCCAGACTATGTTGCAGAAAAGACTACTATGGAAGTGAAAATAATAATTCAAGGGCTTAAGTTCAGCTTCATAATTCTTCAGACCACTAAGATTAATCCAGTCCTACACTGTATATCATACACAGAGAATCTTCTGTTCAAATTCTTAGTACACTATTTTTATACAAATTGTCATCTAGCAGTATGCACCAGTAGCTTTGCCTCCAAAGAAAGCCCTTCTACTCATCAAGGTCAGAGATCTGTACTTTCACTAGTTCTAGTTGCCAATTTAAGCTTCCCATTATTGACCTGCTAGAACAGATAAGCTGCAGATGGCTATATAAAATGAAGGAATCAGAAAAAGTAGTATACCCCAACTTACACAAGAAATCATTTTGTACACAGGCAAAGCCACAATGTTTTAGTAAAACATTTATTAGGGAAGTGTGAAGGTTCAAAACGTGGCTCATTTGCTCCAAACAAATCACCAGATTTCTTAGATTTTACAATAGGGGTAACACTTATTGGATTATTCAATAATAGTCTAGTATCTACTAACGTGTTCCCAGCTTCTTCCCCATCAGACAACAGGTCAACAGGGGGCTTCCAATCTTCAAACTGAAAAGGGTTTGCACTCTGAACATTCCAAGGACCGGGCCACTCAGGTGGGGTGTCCAGGTTTAATAATAATCCTTTCTCTCCTTCCAATAAGGGGGGTGGTGTCCTCCTCTTGAAAGTCCACCCAGTCACATTCCCGCATGGATTCTCCCATCTGCCATGGGGTCGATCAAATCCCCTCTGATGCAGTTCCCACATCCTCCATTCCAATTTCTCTCTCCACTCCCTTTCAACCTTCTCTTTCTCTTCCCTTAACTTCCTTCGCCACTCTTTTGTCTCTTTCTCACCCCAATATGATGGCTTAGGAGTGAGTTCTCTCCTCCTCCATGCATCCGTTTCTTCCTTCAGGACCCTTAGCTTTTCCACTTGTCCTGTCCACGGGTCTTCTATCCATATCCATTCCCAATTACCTTATAACTCCCCTTCCCCTCTTTTTATATATCTCCCAACCCCGCCTCCGCCACTTCCTGCCCTTTTTCTCCCGCACCCGCCAAGAGAGTCCCAGCCTCTTTAGCCATTAGTTCTTTTAAACCTTTCTCTAGGTTCCCCAGGTCTGGTCTGGGTGGTCTTATCTTCCTGGGTGGGAAAACTGGCGGGGTTTGATTTTCTTTCTCAGCAGTTGGCAGGAGGGACGGCACTCCCGTGAGAGGGGTCTCTCTCTCACTTCTGGTCTCACAGGAAGAAAACATCTTTTAATTTGTAATTCTACAAAGAGTACACTAATCTTACAAAAGGAAGGCTACATGTAAAAACCTGGCCCGTTTGGGTCAGTGATTCTATTTAACATTCTTATTTTATGAAGCCAAGAACATGTGTCAGATCCATGCATTCCTGCTTTCCAAAACCTCTGCTAATGCACAGGCCTTGGTTCTTCAATTCTGGTTACCTGCCAATTACATTCCAGATGGAAAACTACAGCTTAATTCTGCTTACCTGCTAGAAACTGAAACTGTAATTATTACTGTATCATCACTTGTGTTTTATTTTTACCTGTGATTTCCTTTTAGTTTTCTAGTGAACTACTACAAATAAACCAAACAAAAAAGATACAGATGTAGCCTATTGAAAATAGCAGAAATATTCCAATGGACATCAATACAGTATTGTCAGAATTTTAATACATTTTATCATGAATATATTTCAATTTCAACTCATTTATGTAATGGCTATCTTTCATGAAATAGTAATACCTAGTAATTGCAGCACAGCCAGATCTTTTAAATATGGTGAGCAAGACCAGAAAAAGGTTAGGAGAACTGCAACAGATTTGGGAAGGGAGGTGTGAGTGCTTTACTTTCCTCAAATATGATCAGCAGTTCACATGAAGAATAAGTACTGTGAACACAGCTTGAATGAACAGCAAACAAATGTAATGGTTGTTGTGGGGTTTTTTAGGATCTTTGGATGTGTTCCTAATGTTTCGCCAGTCTCTGTGGCCGGCATCTTCA